TAGATTTAATTCGATACTTTACTAAATTAAAGTATGATTACATTTGTTTTTGACATTTAAATTGTAAAATATATTAAATATATGTATTTATGTTAATATTTTAAATGTTTTGTTAGAGTGGTTTCATCAGCGAAGCAAATACAGTGCACATGGATATAATCCTTAGATCTGTAAAAAAAATGTTATTATTTTATAAAAGAGCAAATATGCAAGTTGTTTTTTCAACTTAAGGTTATTGAACATTTTAAGTGTATTCTCGCCTGTGGTTGTGGCTCCTTTTGATTAGTCTTTGTCTATATGTATTACAGTAACTTTTACAGTTTAAACATGTTATGACAAGCAAAGATATTTTGTTTAGACCAACTGCTTGCCTTTTGTAATGGTGTTTTTAGCTGTAGCCTAGAGATTGTGTGCTCTGGCTGTGGGTTTTGTCTTCCTTTATCAACAAATGTCACCAGAAGAAGCTAGAATGTGTTTGTTTGAATTCACAGAACATCTTGAATGAGAAGAAAGACTGTACTTGACAGCCTAGAGGTAGTGTAAACTGTTTCGAGTGAAAGAAAATGAAGCTGCTACATGCAAATCCTCCTCAAAATACTGATATAAACCAGTTTTATTTCTTGGAGGTTAAAAGGTCAAGTCGTCACCTCACGTAGTCCAGAAGGTGGAAATATAAACAAAGCGAGTCTCTGTGTGAAGATTCACGAGAAGAAGGGTGTATGGCAGTTGTGCAAAGACATCAGAAGAAAGTCATTTATGATTGTAAGGAATATTTGCAGCAGTATGTGTGGCCTAGAAATGCAATGAAACTGTTTCTACTTCAGGTAATTTGTGATGTTTACAAGGCATAGGTATTACTCATACTTACAGGAATACTTCACCCAAAAATCTTAATTTTGTCAACATTCACTCGCCCTCATATCATTCCATAGTATTATCTTTCTTCTGTTGAACATAAAAGAAAATATTTTGAAAGTCATTGGGGTAAAAAAATGAACCTCATTGACTTTCATTGTATAGACAAAAAATTTGATGGCAGATGATGACAGAAATGACTTTTTTTTGTACCAGTTGGATGATACTTATGGATATCTAGGAACCAGAATATCAGTACATTGTAAAAAAAAAAAAAGGTAAAAAAAAACATGATTCATTGTAAATTAAACATTATTGGAATATATATTACACACAAAAAAAATACTATTTCAGTATTTCTACTTAAAGAGTTTAGGTTAAATTTAATGTGTTGCTTGCTGTTTCTTTGTCATTATTTTTGAAATTTATTAGTGAAAATTGTTTCAAAGACAATATTTTTCAAGAAACAACTCATGTTTTTGTTGAATATGGTGTATATACACACTGAAGACAATTTGGTGTACAAACAATTTTCACCCAGAAACGACCAGTTAATTTCACAAACAATTACAAAGAAACAAATAACAAAACTGAACTTTCGTTTTGAAGTAGAAAAACAGAAATATATTTTCCAGTGTACTCCAATAATCTTTATTGTATTTACAACTATGAAATACCATTTGTAGAGTGTAAGTCTGATACACAAACACAAGTTTGAACCAAAGAAAGAAAATGAGCCTCATTATGGTTTGATGATATGCGGTGAGATTTTCCCTTTGCTATTCTAGTGAACAGGCTTAAACATGTTTTCTTCTAAACACAGAAATTACCTCATCATTTCCTCTTGGAATCCATAAATACAGTTCCTTGGTTTTACTTCTCATAAGTTCCAAAGCATCTGATTGGTTCACAGAAACATCACTCAGTCACGCGGCCGGTCACAACAACCAGATGTCTGTAAGCCACCACTGAACCCTGCCACGCAGTACGCCTACCAGATTTTGCTGCTGTGAAACAAACCCCGTCAAATAACACGTTTGCTCATGGGAGCGTGTGATATATATATATATAGAGAGAGAGCGCCCCTGCCTGAGACGCGTGTCATTGGTGGCCTCACAGTCTGTGGTCTGAGATGAATTGTTGCCATAGAGTTTCTGACCAAATACACCAGGGTGGTGGCACAAACTGAACGGTATTCAGGCTACGCCGTTTCATAGCTTCTCATTTTCTTCCCTTCTCTGTCTTTCCTCCCTCTGTTTCCCATTACTAACTTCATCCCTCACTACAATTAGAAGCATAGAAGAGGCCACTTCTGGTCTTATAAGGAGTGAGGTTAACATCAGTGGGTTTGGTAGAACTTTGTGAGAGAAAGTCTTTATCTAGGGGTCTCGGTTTGAGATTGTCACAGTAAGGGCTCAGACTCATGAATCATATTAGTAGACTCTAGTTTGAGTTGTTCAGCGTAAGCCGGCCCGTGCAACTCACCATTTTAAGACACATTTGTGCTTTGAAGTGGCCTGGAGGCTTGTGGTTTTTCAAGGCCGTCCCTCTTGTGTCTGTACACAGTGTTAAGAGCGTTCTTGGACTGGACTTGGACTTGGACACATTGCAGATGAGGCTTTAGCAGTGTTTTCATATGTTTATGTTTATAGAATGCTACAATATTTGTATATTGTTAGCTGTTGTCACTAAGGAAAGCATCACTTTATTATCGCTCTTACTATAGGATAAGGATTTTAAATGCACCTCAAGCTATAGGTATTAAATTTGTTGTATAGCTAACTTGTCTTGCACTGTTTATGCTACAGAGATGAATGATTGCTCAAATCTTGCAGCTTGTTGAGGAGAGCTGTGCTATTACTTTTCTAAATGTGTGATTTCTGGTGATGGCTGACAGATAATAAACTGAAAAATATATTGAATAAGGAAAACAAGCTATCTGGGGAATGGGGATATCACGTAAAATATCACGTAGAATATCATCAGGGACTCATAGCAACTCCATAGCAATATAATATAAATCTAAAAATCTAGTAAAAATGAATTTTATTTGGTTAATATTTTTTCACAAATGTTTAAAAAAAATGGTTGGAAGCACTTCATGTTCTTATTTGACTTGTAACATTTTTAATAATTTGAAGATTCTTTTCTGTCTTAGATCATCACTAAAGCATCCGTGCTTAGCACTTCATGTATCACTGGTCAAACCCATTTGTAAGATAACAGAAAGATGTCCTTCACATGAACCACAATGAATCAAGTCATATGTGTCCGCTTTTGGCTGTTCTCCATTCTCAGAATCCTTGTCTTTTATTAGCATATAAATAGTCATGTTGAAAGTGTCAGAAGAGCTCAGATTTGATAATGGTGGTGACGTACTGGGACTGGAATGTGCCATTTCTGAATGCTGATGAGCTGCTATTTTAACTCATTACCATTAGAGACACATATGAATACTCCTTACTTTTGTGATTTCAGCTCAGCTAAATGATGACATAATTACAAACAATGAAAACCATTTATTTATTTACTCATTCATTCATTCATGATCTTCATTTTAATATAATTTCTTTTTCTTTAAAAAACTATTTCTCTTTATTTTTTTCCCCACCATAAATCATTTTGACTTATACCTCAAAAAATGTGTTTAAATTCTGAACACATAGTGGAAGTCATGGGGCAAGGCATTGCTCCAGAATAAATGTTCCTATTCCCAAAATATAGAAACAATACTTAAACATTATGTATGTGAGTAGTGTGATTACTAGTCTGATACTGCAAAAATAGCTGAAGGAAATATCTATTTGCTAAATGAACTAAGCTAACTAACATTATACATATTCTTTTGGTTTGGTTTGTGTACCCAGTGTTTTTAAAAATTATAAATGCAATGAAAATACAGGTATTGGTACTCGGCATCAGCAAGTACCAGAAATAAAAGTTATCGTATCGGCTTGTTCTGGAAAAAATTATATCGGTGCATCCCTACTTGATATTTATACCGAATATTATATCATATTTTTAATATATAATGTGTGTGTATGAATAATCTCATCTGCCTAGAAAAATAGTCCCTAAAAGTATTAACTTTTGTAAATGTAATTGCTCATTTCTGATTTTAAACGCTCTGTAATGTCTTGCCCCTTAGATGTCCATTGTAACTGCATTACTGTTGAACCTGGAACATTCCTTCAATGCACTGAGCGCGTCTGTGTCTAGAAGGAAAGATTTTTTGGACGGCTGTAAGTTTGGCATTGGTTTAGTGGTGAATACAATGAAAAGTGCCTGCGGCTGAAATTAAAACTCTCTACACAACAAATCCGTCTGGTTAAATGGCACCAGACAGAATAGTGCATGTTCATGCATGATATCACTTGGTAAACATTGTCCAGAGGTCATGAATCTGATTAATTTTATTATGTGCCAACAAAGAACTTCTATCTCCCACCTTCACATTTGTAAAATCTCATTTGTATTCACCTCACAAAAGTCTCTGTTCCTTTGAGTGTCCGTCTGCTGTCCCAATAACTGCCCTCATTCCGTTACACTTCCTCCCACTGAGCAAACACGGTGTGTGTTTGTCCATGTGCTTTGCTCCCAGCCTACACACACACATATACACACCTCTGTTGGTCTCTGGGATGCTGATGTTAACAAATAGGCTGTAAGATAAGTTATTATATGGTTCTACCATATTGGTCAACTTCCACATCCCTGGGACTTGCATATTGATTTGCATTCTTCTTCTCATTCAGGTTTCCCTCCATGCTCAGAGATGCAGGAGTGTTTTTATGACCTGAAAAGCTTGACTAAAGCTCTTTGTTAAAGTTATGGTCTTTGCAAGTGTCTGGGCATGCCTGGGTCAGGTCATTTGATGTGTGTGTGTTTTGTGGGCGGTAACCGGAGCAGAAGTGCGAACAGCTGCGTGTTACTACACAGCTACATCAACGGCCATATGTAAAAACCCTCCCCTCTCCACAAACACATATCACACACATTCGGTTAAGATGAGAGAGACTGCAGAGATGTCTGCAGGCATTTTCTCCAGCTCTGTAACTTTACCTCTCTCCTCTTTTTCTCCTCCATTACCCCACCGAAGTCAGGATGGTAATTGCTCATTCATGTCTTTTTTTCTTTTCTTTCAGTCGGCTGCATCAGATGGAGGTGAGTACTCTTTTTCAACCCTTTCTAACAAGCAAAATCAATGAGTTCAGGAAGTTGTTTAATGAGTTCTGAAGTTAGCTTTAAGTAGACTGTTGTTCTGATGTTTGCTGTGTGAGCCATTGGATTTTATTTGTGTAGTCTTAAAGTGTTACATTTGTCTATGAAGAGATACAAGAAAAAGGTTACAAGAGAAGTATAAGATCATAATTTAAGCAAGTGCACTTCATTTGTACACTGGGAATAAAGCAAACACACTTTCTCCAGAGTGGAATGTGTAATTGAAGTAATCTGTAGTTAATGATTTTTAGATACACTTTTGTTCAAAAGTTTTGGGTCAGTAAGATGTTTTAAAAAATGAATAATTAATTTTATTCAGAAAGGATGCATTAAATAAATCAAAAGTGACAGTAAAGACAATAATTTTACTAAATATTTATATTTCAAATAAATGCTGTGAAAAAAAATCAGTTTCCACAAAAATATTAAGCAGCACAACTGTTTTTAGCAATGGTAATAAGAAGAAATGTTTCTTGACCACTAAATAAGCCTATTAGAATGATTTCTGAAGGATCATGTGACACTGAAGACTGAAGTAATGGCTGCTGAAAAAATCCAGCTTTGCTATCACAGGAAAGAAATGCATTTTAAAATTATTAAACAAGTTATTTTGAAATAACTTGATAACTTACAATATTACTGTTTTACTGTACTTACAACAACCTTACAACATATCTCACACAGAAAGTTACACTTAAAAGATTTGGTTTAGGTCAGTGCACAGAGAAAGTTTTTGGGCAGTGTCAGAGGAAGTTTCCTTTAATTTGTCTGAAGGCGGTTATGACAGCGATATTTAGAGAGAAAGCTTTGAAGTTTGTCTGGACTTGTCTATCGAAAAGCAAGGAAAACATATTACGCATGATAGGGACCGCAACAGTTTGTAACAAAGATACAAAACAGCACAAGTTACATATGTTCTAGCTTTACTTGCTTACAAATCACAAGATCCCTCATTTTTGTATTCAAATCAGCAACACTTTAAAGTTAAAATGTTAAAATTCTTCTAACCCTAAAACATAAGTAAGGCCTTTTTACATTGATTTTCCCAAAATGTGTAAACACTGTGGCTCTGTGGCCTTTTCAACATTACTTAGTTTGAGCAAACCTGACCAGCCCAACAGCAACACTCGCTCAACCAATGGTGTGAGTTTGCAGTGAGACTGTTTGACCAACCAATTTCCAACTGAAGCAAACCTGTTTGAAAACTTTTTTTTTTTCAATTCAACTGGTAACACTACTGACTGAAATTATGCACTTTGATGATTCTTAGTATTTATCTGCATATTGTCATCCTAACATGAAAAATCATTCCTATTCCTCACCTCATGCCACAGTATTAAAGATATCTCATCTCAGAACAGAGAAGTGAATTTGTTTTAGTGATCCAGACCAGAACAGTTCAAGAATCTGAACCTAAATCATCTCGACTCTCATATTTACTCTTTGTCTTGTTCAGAACGCAGCGGTCTCAAGCGTCATGACTGCGGCAGTGTGAGCAGTTTGGAAAGTAATGGTAGTCTGCCCAGCGTCACCAACCATTGTCGCTTCTCAGAGCGCCGTGTTGCATCATGGGCCGTCAGCTTTGAGCGTTTGCTCCAGGATCCTGTGGGTGTCCGCTATTTTTCTGTAAGTACTGGAGTGTGTCTTAGACATTTGCTTATTGTTAACTAAATACAATTCTTATGGCCTGTGAGCGTTTGACAGGCTTGCCTTTGTGTATATCAGATTGATGGTTTGTGTTCATTTCATGTTCATTTGTTGACACCATATCATAAAGCAGAAGTGTATTAATGTCACAGGACAGGATAGTAGTTTAGAACCAAATGTACTTTTCTGTGTTCCTGCAGGAGTTTCTAAAGAAGGAGTTTAGTGAGGAAAACATCTTATTCTGGCAGGCCTGTGAATGCTTTAGCCAAGTTCCAGAACATGACAAAAAGCAGGTAATCATCTGTAACACATACACGGTTCCCTCAATCATACCTATTCAGTCATCTTGCTCAATGAACCTTAAAGTAATATTTCACCCAAAAATGAAAATACTGGCATAATTTACTTACCCTTATGTTGTTTGAAATCTTAACGACTTTCTTCTTCTGTGGAAGAATAAAACAAGTATGAGAAGTAGAATATCCTGGTTTCTCAACAACAAAAAAATCATAAAAGCACAACAAAAGAAGTCTGCATGATTTGTGCACTATATTGCAAGTTTTAATAGCTTTGTGTGAGGAACAAACTAAAATTAAAGATGAAGGGTGTCTGCTTATTTTAGTATTATTTTTATACTGTTACAGAATTTGTTCATATTTTGAATTAGCTTTTATTTTTACATGTTTTTTTTTATTTTATTTTAAGTGTAAGTAATTTTATGTGGTTTTGTTATTTATATTAGTTGGAGTTTGTTTTGTATTTCTGTTTACAGGGCTTAAAGTTCTCCGGCACCGTGCCGGATCTCCGGCGTGTGGCGTTTAGCTGCGGGAAAATAAGATAGTCCCTACATTTAAAAAAAAACTTGTTGATATCATGTTCGAGTTAATGAGTTCGCCTACCAATGTATGAGAGGAACACAGCTTTCACTCTCAATCAAACTAACATTATTAGACAATCAGACATGTTTGGTCCTATAAACATGAGACGTGCATAATAGTATCCAACTGCAGACTGATGAGCGCGACACATTCTGAAAAAGCTGCGAGGAGATTTCCATCTAGAGCCATATTTATATAGAAAAGCTATTTTCTACATAATTAACGAAGCTTTGTAAACAGCTCAGAGTAATCACGTCATCTCCATAAGAACGATATGATTGGCAGAACAAATTTACCTGTAGTTTTGAAAAGGTCCTGTTCACACATGATCTCTTAACGGCAATTTACCAGTGAAGAATGTATGTGTGAAAGGGGCTTAACTCTTCCTCTGCATATGCGGTGAGTTTGGATTGCTTAACGTTCATCTGGGAAAACTGTGTGTTATCTCACTTAATTTGTAACTTAAGTCATTTATAAACCTATGCCATTGCCAACACAGAATACATCAACATATTTCTAAATATGCGATTTATTGTAGATCGCGATTTCAAAATAAAAGTTTCTAACTTTTTGCATATGGCCAAATATTGCAATTTAATGGATTTAAACGCCGTTGAATCACATGAAACATCACCAGGCCGTTGGCGCCCTCTTGGAAGTGAATGGGAATCACGGCTTTGAGAGTAAAAAAAAACATACACAAACGAAACCAAATTAAACCCTGCGGCTTGTGACGATACATTGATGTGTAAAGAAATGAATTGATCGGTCTGTGCAAGAAACTGAACAGTATTTATATCATTTTTTTACCTCTGATTTTCACCGCACTGTCTGAACTGTCCTGAGCGCGTCCTCGACAGCTGGCGCGTGACACTTCTTCTTCTTCTTGCTTTACGGCAGATCGCAGACTTATAAGTGCATTACCGCCACCTATCTCTCAAATGGAA